TATTCAATAGGTTTGGTTAATCATGTGATGATGATGATGCTATTGCTGCTAACAGATATTTCTGAGGTCGTAGTTTTCTTTCTGTAAGGCTTCTCGAATATTTGTACTCTTACAACCGGCATAATGTGGTTGTGTAGAAAAAAACAACACAATGAGCAGTTACAGCAACAATGTTGCCTTCAATTGCCATTTTTTGATTGAACTCAGTCCATCAGCTAACCACTGAATTCGCTGTAATGCCTTTATTTTCATATTGGGAGGGATAAAAGGGTTTCTCGACAAATAATGTTTTGAGGAAGTTTAAAAGGAATTCAATTAAAAACAAGTAAGAGTGCTATATTCGGCTGTGCCGAATCTTATATACCATTCACCATAGTGTATTTAAAAATTTATTTTCCCGACTATATCATTATTATAGCAATAGCAAAACATAATGAACAACAACAACGCTAAACGAAATAAACACACAAAAAACAAAATACACAAGGCAGTAAAACCAACAGACATCCAAACATACGAAATTCAATACACTAAGAAAACAAAAACAACATACACAAGGCAATGAAACACACAGCCATCCAAACATACGTAATTGAATGTAGCAAGAAACAATAACAATATACACAAGGCAATGAAACACACAGCCATCCAAACATACGAAACGAAATACTCAAAAAAACAAAAACAAAATACAAAGGCAATAAATGAGCAGTGTTGTTGTTGTTTATTTTTTATGAAATTTTCAGAGGTTGTATCGGATTTTTGCTTATATCTCCGTTGTTTATGAACGGATTTTGCTGATTTTAAATAAGAAACTTCTCGAAAGCATGTCTGATAGAATTATTGAAGATTTGGATCCAGAAGATATATGGGGTCTTCAGAAAACTGATTTCAACAGACAGACAGACAGACGGACATGGCTTAATCGACTCCGCTATCTATAAGGATTCAGAATATATATACTTTATGGGGTCGGAAAATTATATTTTGGAAATTACAAACGGAATGACAAACTTATGTATAAATACCCTTCTCACGAAGGTGAAGGGTATAATGAAGATCGCATATGCAATAAAAAGTAAAACTATGCTGACACCATGCTCCAAAACGTTTAATATCTACGTATGATTCATTTGTCAAATAGATGGCAAGGATCTAGGGAGTGTTATTTATATATTAAAATAACACCTCTTTTTAAATAATCCTACAAGGAAAACACAAAAATATTTTGTATAAAAACTAACTATTAATCCCTGTTGTTGATCTCTCATCGTCATCATGGTGCAAATGATCGTTTTGTGGCACTATGTATGCTGCCTCCTCACAAACAACGCTCAATAACCACAACAATAACAACATTATCCATTAATGTTCAACAATATTCAACAAAACTATTCGTATAATACCAACCATTTTGTTGATGTTTTTCATTTCTTTCTTTTTTTTTCTACACTTTGAAATATCGTCACGTTTTAGCCATTTTATTTGGCAAGGATGGAGAGAAAAAAAGTTGAAAATTATAAAATAAAACAGAGACCTAATAGATACGCAGGGCTTTGTTATCTTGAGGAATTTTATTGGACACGCTCAAGTTTAGAGCGAGCATTACTATAATAATAGCGGGAACAGCAACAACAACAGCACATTTTGCTGTATATGTGCTGCTGAAGCTGTTGTTTAATGTTTAGTAGAGATGTTTTAGAGTTAAAAATCAATTTGACGGGATTAGTTAGACAATGGTTGGAAGAATGTTAATAATTATAGAAAACAACATTCTCCTTCTTGGTTTTTTGTTAAAATGTTATAGAATGTAATATAACTTGTACTTAGGTTTTTTTTTTGTATTCCAAGTTGTTTATTAAAAAGAATTAGTTTATTGCAACTATTATAGCAACAAACTGGTATTATGAGTTAAGCAATTATTTATCGAGGTTGCCAGAGATTAAATGATGATTGAACGATTTGAAATTTATTGATTTTTTTGCAAGAACTAAAAAGAATGATTCAAGGTCATTCTTTTTAGGGTGACAAATAGTTCAATATTTCTAATTCGATTCCTTCGCAGTTAGGAAGCAAAACATCAAATCCCACGATCCAGCAAGATCATGTGAGCTTAATGACCGTCTCTGCTGAGGATTTTATGATTTGATAATAAGATCAGTAGATCGAGTTTTATATTTCTTCAACTGCTCACATTCGTTGCTTTCTTTTAACTTCGAAGTTTGTCATGTAGAATTCGAATACTTCATCTGACCGCTAAGATCTCAAATAACCAGCCACTTAGATATCGAAATAACAATGCCTTAAGTATTTATGAGAACATTACACACAGAAAAAGGATCGATTGGAAATCGGCTACTATGATAAATATTTAGTTATATTAATTAAAATTTTATCGCTGTTATTGAAAGACTGTGAAATTAACTGCTTTTCTATATTCAGTACTAAAACAACATAATTATAATCGAATGGTGGTTTTAACAATTTCCAAATTAATAATTTGAACTGAATTGTATCGGTTATTAAATTAATTTGTGAATTCAGTAAATGGAACAGACTTTTATATAGGATTAAAACGTAAGAACATCAGATATTAGTCGCTGCAACCGAAAAATGGTAGAAAGTAAAAAATATTGTGCACTGCAACCAATTATCAATTGACAAAATTATTTAAAATTGAATAACGGTTAAAGGGACCAAATTCGATGTTCACAACCAATAAATTGGTAATAATAGTTGACGTATACAAAAATAAATAAAATACAAAGAATTTATAATTAAAAAAAAAAACGAATTACATTTAAAGATTCATTAATGCGGAAAAATCGGACAATAAAGGTAATGTTTAATATATATTATGTCTTATAATCTATTTTGAGATATTTTCTTATAAGTTTTAATAATTTTACAGCTGCGGAAAGGCGTGGAAAGGTAATACATCTTTGGCCATGTTAAACAGGCAAAAAAAAGATGAAAGCAAAATCCTGAAGACATAAACATAGCGTTTATCATCAAAACTAAAGGGGAAAGTTGTATTTTTATATATATATATGCGGCCATGAGGTTAGCACATTTGGTATCTGTTAAATATAAAATCAAATATTTCCTATAGTTCTTAACTTTTTTAACAAATTCTTTTTTATGCGTAACACATGTCCTTCGAGGATCACGACACATTACATTTTGTTCCACTACTTTGTTGCATATAGATTTTTTTCTTTCCAAAGTACATCTACCCCCAAAAAAATCTGGACATAAGTTTAGCACAAAATAAAAAAAATCATTAAAAAATTTAAAATAAAGCAAAGAAACCGGATAAATTTATGTAATTGCACTTAAAATTTTATATTTTGTAGAATAGTTGCACATTTTGATAACATAATTTCTTCTCCTGGACATAATCTTCACCAGTACACACTAGAAATTTCATGACATAAATTTTAACTTTCAGCCCATAAATAGGCAAAATTCTTAGGAATTTGTGTTTTATTTGTTGCACCATTTCGTTTAATATGTTCCCTATTGGATTGGGATCTAGAAATTATTCTGGGCGCTGCAAACATGTCAATCTCGCCCGCTTCCAAGAAGCTCCTCTCTGTACTTTTAACATATTTTGGGTCATTGTCGACCAAAAAACGCCATTTAACTGAACTTTTGTCCACTAATTTTTTTACTAAAATATTTAACAGTCTATTTTGATAGTCATACTGATCCATTTGTGCATCCACCTTGCGTATAAAACCTCCACTACGCCCGGAAAACGCCTCCGAATTCGTCATATTTCACCCATTGTGTTTTATGGTTTTAAATGTACACTTTGGTTGTTGCTGCATGTTTGGAGTACAACATAATTACATTTTTCCATCAAATTTGATCCTATTAATCTTCAACTAGTATACTCCAATCATGCAGATAAAGCTAAAGTGTTCCAGAGAAATCATATATCACAATAGGGGGAAATTTCATGGTATTCATTTCATTTTCTTGGCGTGCTGTTGGTCCTATATTGATGTTGGATGCAGAAATGGATCCGTATGACTATCAAAATAGGATCTTAAATACTTTATTAAAAAAAATCGGAGGACAAAGATGGCGTTTTTTGGTCGACATCGACCGTAAATATGCTAAAAGTGCTGAGATGAGCTGCTTGGAAGCGAGCGGGATTGTCATGTTTGCAGTGCCCAGTATATTTTCTCGATTCCAATTCAATAGAGAACATATAACATGATATGGACCAACAAATAAAAGCAGAAATCACCAAGAATTTTGCCAATTTATGGGCTGAAAGTTAATATTTATGTCATGAAATTTCTAGAGGGTTCTGGTGAAGATTATGTCCAGGAGGAGAAATGATATTATCAAAATCTGCAACTATTCCACAAAATATAAAATTTTAAGTGCAATAAGATAAATATAGCCGGTTGTTTTGTTTTATTTTTAATTTTTTAATGATTTTTTAATTTTGTGCTAAATTTATGTCCAGATTTTTTTGGGGGTAGATGTACTTTGGAAAGAAAAAAATCTATATGCAACAAAGTAGTGGAACAAAATGTAATGTGTCGTGATCATCGAAGGACATGTGTTACGCATAAAAAATAATTTGTTAAAAAAGTTAAGAACTATAGGAAATATTTTATGTTATAGGCAACATATACCAAGTGTGCTAAAATCGTAGCCAACACTGTATATATATATAAGTTTTGTAAGTTTATACAAATTCATATTTTTTGTAAATATTATAAATAAAATGGAATGTATTTTAAAATACACAGAGTCCACAAATTGGTTTTCAATAAAAAATTATTCAGTTGCAAATACTAATAATTTCAATCCGTATTTCCGAATAATAAACAAAAATAGTTGTGTACACCATATATACAGTAATAGTAACCGAATTTTTCAATAATTACAATCGAATTTTAGTATAGTTGCTAGAACCTACTGAATTCGATTGGAAACAAGTTCGGTTATCACAACGAATCTGTTTTCTCTGTGTAGATATGATAGAACTCGAGATATATCACTTCGAACATGAAAAAACCCTGGGTATGTGGGACATAACGGTTAAGAGGAAAGGTCTCATTTAAGTTTAAGTAACAAAACATCCTTGTACATTGGACCACTCTATATAAGCAAATAAATGTAAATTTTAACCCTTTTAATTAAAATAATTGTTACAACATACCACTTGCAACATAAAAAACCCGAATCATTAAATTCAAATAAAAAGTAAAATCAATTGCAACACGTTTCAATCGTTTTTAATGTACTTATCCGTAACCCAAATCAATATAAAAAAAGCCCTTAAGGCTTATAAAATTAATTGTCGTACTTTTGCTTTTAACAACCCCCCAACAAGCCAATATGAAAACTCCATAAATTCAACTTAAATTTGCAAATATTAAATTACAACCTTTGTCAGTAGTATTCGGTCCAAAATCGAAAAGAAAGAAATATTTTTGCATATTCTATCAACAGCTTTACAAAAGCTTTTCATCCTTTATTTATAGCAACATTTTTATTTTAATTTGTTTCTTATATATTACTTCTTGTTTTAATGATTTCAGAAAATACAAGGATTAATTCAAGGCCCCTTAATAATAATACTGCAGAAGTAGCATCAAGTGGTTGTGCTGGTCGCAGTAATATTACTTTGGAACATTCTGCAACATCATCAGTAGTAATACCGAATAGTAGACATCGTTTTGCAACATTGAGTTGCATTAGTGGCGTCAACACCGACAACAATAATGGGGAGAATGCGGACAACAATAATCAATTTATTGTAAATCCTCAACAGCAGCAAGGACCTTTTATATGTCGTACACCACCACCAAATTATCATTCATTGCCTTCAACACCACCACCATCTTATACAGCGCGTTCGCAACAACAACAGCAACAACCTTATCAAGAGCAACATCAACAGCCAACTGTGCGATTAGCGGAAATCTCAAGAGACGACAATGTGAACAATGAGGATGAACAACCACCACGGCAACAGCATCAGCAGAGTAATCATCATCATCATCAACAGCAATTGCAGCAACCTTTAAGGCGTTTTCAAGTACCGGAAGCACTTGCTCTAACTCATGACGAACATAGAGTATTAAATAGGCTAAATGTTGCAAGAAATATTATAAATGAGCCACTGTCAGTTGCAAATAGACAAGTAGGATTAGTTCAAGGAAGATGTGCCACGAGAAATGTGGCAACAGTGTCACATAATCATCAACAACAGCAGCAGCAACATCAACAACAGATACAACAAAGAAGACGGAAACAACGTAGACGTAATCTTTATTTATTACAGCAACAACAACAGCAGCAGCAACAACAACAACTTCTGCAACAAAATAATCCAACTCTCGGTAATCATAGCACAGATTCTGAAAGCTCTACAAGTTTAACGGATGCCAGTGAAAGTGACAATGACATTATTTGCATTGGCAGTAACCGTGATCAAAGAAGACGTCGTCGACAGCGTTTACTTAAATTAAGAGGTAAGTTCAAGGTTGGATATTTGTTTTTTTTTTTAAAGATCTTAAAATACCTTAAATGTTTAGCATTTTAGTCAGGGGTTTCAAAATTCTCGTAATATTTCACAGAATTCGATATAATGCAATCTAAACTAATTAATCTTCGTTTTAGTCGGTTTATATCGAGCTTTCTCACTCCCTGCTAATCCACCTTTTTTTATTATGTGAATAATTATATAAGGAAATCGGGGGCTCTTGATATTCGGGAAATAATGAATGTATTTTCACCTTCGTAAGTTTGTCATTTCGTTTGTTGTTTCTACAATATAGTTGTCCGACCCATTTAAGCGTAAAACCAATACTTTTGTTTCGACCAATAAATTAGGAACATGTTCCCAATCTGCCAACAAGAGCTTTTCAATTTAGGATGATATTCAAGTTGACAATTTCAACCGGGAAATTTAGGAGTAAACACTAAGAAAACAACCGCAAAGAAGTCATTCTTTTAACAACTGTCTCTCTCCCTCTCTTTAAGAGTTTTCCTAAATGATTCTAATAGGATTATCTCTATTTAAGCTGGGGATTGTTATTGCTTAACTGAAACCCAACTCCATTTTATCATAAAATAACACAATTATACTCTCCTTCTTTCAGATGCTTACTGTCCCGACCTATTAAATGCCTGTTCATTAATATTACTCCAACAACAGACAAGTGATTCTACAGTTGGAAGTTTTACAGACACGCCACCACCGCCAACCGAAGAACCACTCAATGATTCAACCGATTACGTGGAAATCGATGAATTACAAGCAACAAATCGACAGCAAAATGGTGGACAAAATAAAACACAAAGTTTATCGCAAATCTATGAACAAATCTATAGGCGCGAAACAGATCCATACGCAACGTACAACAATAGACTGAATGGAGTGGCAAGAGTGGCAACAGCACGAGACGAAAGAGAAGACGAAAACCAAAGATTATACTATAATAACAAACAGGAAATGGGTCAAAGTTTAAGTATACGAAGACCAAGAATATCACTAACCTGGGTATTAAGAGAACAATCACAAAACCAACAACAACAACAGCAGCAACAAAACGAACCACAACAACAACAAAATACCAAAAAGGAAGAGGAGACAAAACTTAATGAAGAGAAAAAAGAGAATATTAGCGATTTAAATAATGTTCTCAATAATAATCAAATTCTAAACCAACGCAGCAGTAATAAACAGGATCATACAACTGCCGTAGAAAAGAAGAAATATCGTTTAAAACATATACCCAATAGCAATAGTGAAGCTCTCAATGGTTATGCTACCACACCCACAGGCTATACCAATACTCCCAATGCTTTGGGTTCACAGAAATTCTTTAGCAATCAAAATTTATTGGAATACCACAAAGATGAAAGCAATTGCAAGCCCGCTTCAAAGGACTTACTATTTGTATGCACACCCCAAAGAGTACCGGAGAGTTTTGGCGGTTCCTCACTGGATGTCTTGGCTTTGGCTAAGAAACGCAATGAGATACGCAAGAAATTGGCCACAAAAATGGCCCACTTCCGTTCTGAATCACAAACACCCCGATTAGTCAATAATATTAGTAATGATGTGCAATTGAAAAAGGACAACAAGTCCTCCCTAAAATCAGGATCCTATTCAGAACCTAGTCTTATAGCTGCCTCTGAGGGCAACTCGCGTAGACATCGTCATCGTAAGCGTCGCGAAAGAAATCGTTCGCAAAAATTTGGCTACGAAATTAAAAATGTCGATGAATTCTTAAATAAATGTTCGCTGGCCTCTCCGGGCAATATACCCATGGTTTTATCTACCTCATGCATACTGTACCAAACAAGACCGGGAGGTTATCAAACCGAGATATCACTGCCATTGGGTATGGTGGTTAATGCAGTATTTAAAAATCACAATTGGCTGTATGTGCAAACACCACATGCGGAAGAGGGTTATGTTAATTACACCACTTGCTTACCGCTGGGTATTTTACCACCCGAAGCCAGAAAGGAATCTAAGCCTACACCTTGTTGGGAGACAAATGGTGATATATTTCCCAAACCTTGCGGCAATATGACAGACTCCGAAAAGGAGATACATTTAAGAGTAGGCTCACGCAGTGAAGGTGCCCGCACACCTCATTTGAAGAATGCTGCCACTGATAATGATACAGCCACTGTAATATCGGTGAAGACAGAAAACACCGATTGTCTTAACGGCAATGCCACCACCACCACCTCCTCTATATATGGCGAACAACAGGTAGATAAATTGTACTTGAGGGCAGCCTCGCAACCCAAACTTAATGACAAGACATCATATGCTCAACTAAAAATTATACGTAATCATTCATCGGCCAAGTCACAATCATCAGCACACACCAATGATGAATATGTTACATTACAACAAAAGCAGCAGCATCATCAGCAACAGTCACAACCACACCAAATCAAACAAAAACATGTACATACAACAAATCAACCCATACAGAAAACTTACATTACACGCACTTTCATTACGAATGGCCACAATGGTCAACATTTGCATCCGAAAGATATGAAAACAAATCTTCAGCAGCAGCAGCAACTACTACAGCCAACTAATTGTAACCTTAAAACTTCGAACTCAACAACAATGCTACAGCAGCAGCAACAACAACTACAACAAAATAATGCCCCAGCAACCATAACAGTTACTTCATATCCAAATAACAAGCATCAACTTCAAACTCCACCACAACAACAACAACAACAACTGCCGCATCAATCTCAATCATCATTACAACATAATCAACAACAACATACATTCGTTGCTCCACGCTCAGTATTGAATGCCATACGTCGTTCCACAGCCCACTGTGGTCAACGTCAGACATTGGTGGCCATAACCACAGATTATTCTACAGATGCTTTGACGCTGCACAAAGGCGATATCGTTACGTTGTGTGAGTGTCGTGAGACCAAAGATCATCGTCAATGGTTTTACGTGAGAACACGTGATGGTCGTCAGGGTTATATACCAGCTGAAGTGGCAGGCCATGGTTATTTGTAATTAAATAAAGAAAAAAAATACTTTTTCAATAACAACTACAACAATTACAACAGCATCAATCAATAAATGAAAAATATTTATAGATTTTCTTAAGGAAACACATCTATGAAAACCTTAAGGAGGAGATTGCTGCGAAAGTGGCAACTAACTTTTTGGAACAGTGTAAAAAATTACTTGCAAATTGTGGATAAATTATAATGAAAATGTTAAAACTGAATCAAATCTATGCCACTGAATAACTGACTGTAATGTTTTTTTTAAATTCCCAAAATTTTCGTCATCATTGGCTCTGGAAAAGACAATTCTTTAAATCACTTTCGTGACTAAATGTTTAGAAAAGTCGGAAAAAAATCTGATCACATTTAACCCCCAAATATCATATAAATACTTGTATTGCGATGATTTCAATTTAAATAAGTTTTATATAAACTAAAATTTTACGAATAATTGGTCCATAATTGGAGAAGCTTCCTTATAGGGCCCACTTTAACGCCTGATCATGCAATAAATATATCGATATTAAAATAGAATCCGTCATTAACTATTTGTTATTACAGTATTATAACAGTCTCCATTATGATTCCCCAAAAAAAAGTTTTGAAGTTTCAAATGTGGAACAGAAATTATTGGTCTCAAAGCCCAACTAGAACCGAAACAGAATAACTGCATGAATTCCATGGAACCAGTTGTGAAATTAGTATAATTTTTCCTGTTTTTTTACCCTATAAAGTATATATGTATGTGTATTTTGAATCCTTATATGTAGATAGCGAAATTGAAAACAATTTTCTGAAGACCCCAAATATCTGTGTGATCCAAATCTTTAAAAATTTTATCAGACATGCATTTACGATGTTTGCTATTGAAAATCATGTTTGATGTTTGCTATTGAAAATCATGATAAAAATTCCCAAGAAAATTCCAGGATTTGGAATACATGTATTTCCGAACCTATGTGTGTATATCTAAAGAATAGGCAATAAGTGCATATATCAAAAGAATGTTATTCGAAAGAAAAGAAAATAGCGAAGTTGACAACAATTTTCTGAAAACCCCAAATATCTTTGTGATCCAAATCTTTAATAATTTTATCAGACATGCTATCATAAATCGGTTCATATTTAACTCAGATAGGAGTAAAATTGCGAAGAAAATTTTAGGTTTTGGAACCTATGTTCGATATAAATGGGTATACATAGGCAATATGTATATCAAAAGAAAGATATTCGAAAGATCTTTCTCTTTCGAAATAGGTATATCGGAAAATAGTGATTTTTGAAAACTAAGAATTTGAAAAAAATTTAGAATTTTTCTAGAACGAATGCATTTGAATACAAACAAAACCACTTCAAATACTTCTCCTTAGTAATGTTGTCATCGCTTCTGGAATCTGTTCTGTGGAACTTGAGAAAAGTAGTAAAAAGTTCATTCCATGATTTATAACTCTCTGTAAAACCAAAAGACTGCTGCCAAGCATCACTTTCGTGACTAAATGTTTAGTAAAGTCGGAAAAAAATCTGTTCACATTTAACCCCCAAATATCATATTAATACTTGTATTGCGATGATTTCAATTTAAATAAGTTTTATATAAACTAAAATTTTACGAATAATTGGTCCATAATTGACTCCATAAGAAGCTTCCTTATAGGGCCCAATTTAACGCCTGATCATGCAATAAATATATCGATATTAAAATAGAATCCGTCATTAACTATTTGTTAGAACAGTATTATAACAGTCTCCATTATGATTCCCCAAAAAAAAGTTTTGAAGTTTCAAATGTGGAACAGAAATTATTGGTCTCAAAACCATACAAGAACCGGAACAGAGTAAATGCATGAGTTCTGGAACCAGTTGTGAAATTAGTATAATTTTTCCTGTTTTTATACCCTATAAAGTATATATGTATGTGTATTTTGAATCCTTATATGCAGATGGCGAAGTTGAAAACAATTTTCTGAAGACCCCAAATATCTGTGTGATCCAAATCTTTAAAAATTTTATCAGACATGCATTTACGATGTTTGCTATTGAAAATCATGTTTGATGTTTGCTATTGAAAATCATGATAAAAATTCCCAAGAAAATTCCAGGATTTGGAATACATGTATTTCCGAACCTATGTGTGTATATCTAAAGAATAGGCAATAAGTGCATATATCAAAAGAATGTTATTCGAAAGAAAAGAAAATAGCGAAGTTGACAACAATTTTCTGAAAACCCCAAATATCTTTGTGATCCAAATCTTTAATAATTTTATCAGACATGCTATCATAAATCGGTTCATATTTAACTCAGATAGGAGTAAAATTGCGAAGAAAATTTTAGGTTTTGGAACCTATGTTCGATATATATGGGTATACATAGGCAATATGTATATCAAAAGAAAGATATTCGAAAGATCTTTCTCTTTCGAAATAGGTATATCGGAAAATAGTGATTTTTGAAAACTAAGAATTTGAAAAAAATTTAGAATTTTTCTAGAACGAATGCATTTGAATACAAACAAAACCACTTCAAATACTTCTCCTTAGTAATGTTGTCATCGCTTCTGGAATCTGTTCTGTGGAACTTGAGAAAAGTAATAAAAAGTTCTTTCCATGATTTATAACTCTCTGTAAAACCAAAAGACTGCTGCCAAGCATCACTTTCGTGACTAAATGTTTAGTAAAGTCGAAAAAAAATCTGTTCACATTTAACCCCCAAATATTATATAAATACTTGTATTGCGATGATTTCAATTTAAATAAGTTTTATATAAACTAAAATTTTACGAATAATTGGTCCATAATTGACTCCATAAGAAGCTTCCTTATAGGGCCCACTTTAACGCCTGATCATGCAATAAATATATCGATATTAAAATAGAATCAGTCATTAACTATTTGTTATTACAGTATTATAACAGTCTCCATTATGATTCCCCAAAAAAAAGTTTTGAAGTTTCAAATGTGGAACAGAAATTATTGGTCTCAAAGCCCAACTGGAACCGAAACAGAATAACTGCATGAATTCTGGAACCAGTTGTGAAATTAGTATAATTTTTCCTGTTTTTATACCCTATAAAGTATATATGTATGTGTATTTTGAATCCTTATATGTAGATAGCGAAGTTGAAAACAATTTTCTGAAGACCCCAAATATCTGTGTGATCCAAATCTTTAAAAATTTTATCAGACATGCATTTATGATGTTTGCTATTGAAAATCAGTAAAATCTGTTCATAATTAACTCAGATACATATGATAAAAATTCCCAAGAAAATTCCAGGATTTGGAATACATGTATTTCCGAACTTATGTATGTACAGTGGCGTGCAGAAGTGAGTGCATGTTCACGACACTGACTTTCGTCATCCATAAAAACAAAACCATACAAGCAAATCAAAAAAAATTTTTTTTATTATTTTTATTATTTTATTAGTAACAAATAGGAGTAAAGAAACAATAATAAATGAAATTAATTCAAAGAGTTTGAAAGAAAAAACGAAAATAACCCGCATAAACTCAATTTTGCACGTTTCAAGAAAATTAATAACTAACCCAATTTCAATATTTGGTCCATAGACCCTTATTAGAAATAACTTGATTTACGCGGTTTGGCATGCTTTCTACCAAATTTTCGATAACTTCTTTTGGAATTCGATTCCATTCCGCATTTACACGATCCCAAAGGTTGCCCAGGTTTGTTGGGGCTGCTTCGTACTGCCCGAGCCGTCTTTTCACGATTGACCAAAGATTTTCAATCGGATTGAGGTCGGGACTTTGTGCTGGCCATTCCATCAATTGAAAATTTTGTTTCCCAATCCATTCCTTTACAATTTTTGCTGTGTGCTTCGGATCACCATCTTGTTGGAAAACAATTTCTTTTTCGGGATAAGCACATTTGTCCATAAAATTGGGAAGATGGGTTTGTAGAATCTGTAGATAGTCCTCTTTTCGCATGATACCATCTACTAAATGCAAAGGGCCAACATGCCACCATGTAAAGCATCCCCAAACCATTATGTTTCCGCCGCCATGTTTAACAGTTTGCTTCACATGGTGTCTTTGAACACTTTCCCCGGGTCTACGCCAGCAGTATTGCTTTCCATCTGACTGAAAACGGTTAAATTTGGACTCATCAGACCAGATAACACGTTTCCAATCATCAATGGTCCAATTTCTGTGCTCCCTTGCAAATTTCAAGCGCGCTTTAACATTTTTATCGGACAATGCAGGTTTGTTTTTTTTAACAAATGAAGCATATCCGATGTTATGGAGCGCTCTTCTGGCAGTCCATTCGCTTACATTTTTGTTAATTGCCAGAGAAGCACCCTTTGGTGTTAGCAGCTTGTTCTTTCTCATTTCGGACAGCATTAGTCGAGCATCTGAGTCCGTTAATAATTTTTTGCGACCTTTGGCTTGCGATTTGGGAGTCACATTTCGTCTCTTTTGAGCTGCGATCACCGCCGATTGACTAATACCAAGCCTCTTGGAAATGGTACGTGAAGAACAGCCCTTCTCTGTCAGGCACACAACACTATTTTCTATTTCTTCTGATATTTTTCTCATTTTTATGCAAAAAATCAACAATTTATTTTAAATATGAAAGTAATTCACAAAATCTGCATTAATTCTCAAGAAACACGTTTTAAACTGATTTATAAACAAGAAGAATAGATAAGAACAAACATAACGGTAAATTGCAAGATTTCTGCTGATAAGAAAGAGAGTGGGAGAGCGAAAATAGGTGCAATTCATAAAACGTGCAAAATTGAGTTTATGTGGGTTATTTTCGTTTTTTCTTTCAAACTCTTTGAATTAATTTCATTTATTATTGTTTCTTTACTCCTATTTGTTACTAATAAAATAATAAAAATAATAAAAAAAAATTTTTTTGATTTGCTTGTATGGTTTTGTTTTTGTGGATGACGAAAGTCAGTGTCGTGAACATGCACTCATTTCTGCACGCCACTGTATATCTAAAGAAAGAAATTATTGGTCTCAAAGCCCAACTGGAACCGAAACAGAATAACTGCATGAATTCTGGAACCAGTTGTGAAATTAGTATAATTTTTCCTGTTTTTATACCCTACAAAGTATATATGTATGTGTATTTTGAATCCTTATATGTAGATAGCGAAGTTGAAAACAATTTTCTGAAGACCCCAAATATCTGTGTGATCCAAATCTTTAATAATTTTATCAGACATGCATTTACGATGTTTGCTATTGAAAATCAATAAAATCTGTTCATAATTAACTCAGATACATATGATCAAAATTCCGAAGAAAATTCCAGGATTTGGTATACATGTATTTCCGAACCTATGTATGTATATCTAAAGAATAGGCAATAAGTGCATATATCAAAAGAATGTTATTCGAAAGAAAAGAAAATATAGCGAAGTTGGCAACAATTTTCTGAAAACCCCAAATATATGTGTGTGGTCCAAATCTTTAATAATTTTATCAGAATCGGTTCATAATTAACTCAGATATGAGTAAAATTGCGAAGAAAAGTTTAGGTTTTGGAACCTATGTTCGGTATATATAGGTATACATAGGCAATATGTATATCAAAAGAAAGATATTCGAAAGACCTTTCTCTTTCCAAATATGTATATCGGAAAATAGTGATTTTTGAAAACTAAGAATTTGAAAAAAATTTAGAATTTTTCTAGAATTTTTTCTACTCCTTAGTAATGTTGACATCGCTTTTGGAATCTGTTCTGTGGAACTTGAGAAAAGTAGTAAAAAGTTCATTCCATGATTTGTAACTTTATGTAAAACTGCCAACGACTGCTGCCAAGCATCAAAATTCCATAAAATAACAATTTAATGATTGATCCAGACGGAAGGACAGACATTACGAAAAGTAATTTTAAAACGTTTAATACTTAATTTGAAGACAAACACAAATAGTATTATTTTTAAAACGATAAATGAAATAATACGTACAAAAACAACAACAGAATTATCGAAAAAGTTTTACTTTATTAGTTATTCTAAAACTAATAGAACTTACAAAACTTCTTTCACAAACAACAACAGACTTACGACCAATTTTTTTTCTTTATATATTAAAGGTTTAAATAAGTATTTTAATCAAATTCAAAAAAAATACCATTTAAACCAAAAAAAAAACTAAAATGAAAATTAAATAACATTAAAGAAATTTTCGTAAAATTAATTTGTAATTAATAAAAACCTTGTTCAAAAATTAGTTGATAGTAATTTTATGTTATTTTGCAAAGCAATCGAGTCGCTTAGTATTTAGTACATTTTTTTAGTAATAAGACGTCATTAAACAAAAACATTAATAATATTTTTTAATTATAATTTGTAATTATTTATGTTAAACATAATTAAATTAAATGAATTTGTTACCTCACAAAAAGGGTACTTAATAAAAAGAAAAACAAAAAACAAGACATAAAATATAAACAAAATTAAGTCATTATTAAATTTAAATAAAACAAAACGAAAAATTATTTAAAAAAAATTATAATAAAATGTGTTATTTGTTTAAGAAAAAGGTAAGTAAAATACTTAAAATACTATAAAACTTTCATGACCTTTTAACCTCCAATGAATTCTGCTTCTTGTTATAGTAATAAACAATTTAATTGACTTTATAAATTTAAATTTATTTTATTGCTTATTATTCTTAATTACATATATTATGTATATGGTAATTGTTTAACAATTAATTTTTGTTTTTAACTTAATTTTCTGTAAATATATATATATATTACTTTTGATTTGATAAAATATTTATTTTAAATGTAAATTTTTGTTTTTATTTTCTTTATTTCTAAAATCAATATTTTTCTTTAAGTGTAAACATTATTAACAGGATTAATATTAACTACTTAAAAAATTTGGCAAACATATTAAATTTTTAAACAAGTCTTTTAAACTTTGTTTTATTCTTACAAAATTTTTTTAAATCAGAAGGTAAAATTATCCTTAATTTTCATTTTCGATTCAAAACAATTGTTAAAAAAATTTTTTTAGATATTTTTCAAAATGTTTCTTTTTAAAAATAAATCAATTCCTTAATGCTAGCTTATTATTTAATGCTTTTTAAGAAAAATATAAAAGGAATTAATTTAAAGAAATTTAAAAGCCCTTTAACACTTCAGATTACACTGTGCAACAAAATTTAAAAAAAAAAAAGTCGAAACCCAGATACTAAACTATACATTTCTAAACTATTCAGAATCCCTCCATCACATCAGGTTTTGTGAGATATCGTATCCTAAAAACTGAAAAACCCTCGGTGGTTAAAGCTTTATTTTAAAGTCCACAGATTGGACTTAATAAGGTCTCAAATGCGGCTAAAAGCGGGGAATTTCTCAGATTTTAGAACATGATATCTCAAAAACCTGATGTGATAGAGGAATTCTGAAGCCTGACTCGGATATTGTTTTCTAAAGTTAAGAAAAACGTTTTTGGTTATATTAAAGACGTTAAAATGAACCGAAGGCACCTTTCTTAAAATCTGTTAAGTCAAGTCCAACCTTTCGAGCTTCAAATAAAGGTTTAAGGTAGGCAGGTCGTCCTTGCGATGTCATCACTGGGGACACACTTGGGTCCAGAATTTTGATCCCTTTGTGATAAAGGTTTAAAGAGGTTTAAACTCTCTATCATTCTTCTTTTTTACGTTTCAAACTTAAGTTTAAGATATCTCGAAAAAGGAACAATATATAAAAGGGATTGAACCTTGTAGACGAAATAAATATACTTTAGAAATGTAAACCATGATCTTTACTATCAGTTCCGAAACTGTTCTTAAGAATACATACATATGTTTTATATAGCTTCTCTTAGAACTAAGTTCAAAAGGTTTTTATAGAACTGGTATCGATTCGCTTTCACAGAACCAGTTTCAAACTTCACAATTTCTAACAAAAACAAGAATGTATAGTCAGACCTGATCGGCCATATGATACCCTACATAAGTATGTTAAAAATGTGGATTATTTTTAATTTTTTAACCTTGGTTACGAAATATATTAACAATTTGTTGACAAAAAAGTGTTTTTCTGACAGATGGATTATTTAGGGGCAAGGATAAATATGGGCCTATCCTTTTAAATCAGAGTTAGAGGGATTAACGATTACATTAATTTTATGCAGAATTTCAACGTAATATTAGTGTCTCTAAGTTAATTATTGACCTTTAAGTCATTTTCTAAAGGGGCATTGTTTGGGGGGTTAGGGTCAAAATAAGGCCTCATTATTACGAAAATCGCCAGTTTTTTTTAACTTATATAAAATTAAGTTTTTTTGAAAAGTCTATAGAACATTAAATATAACCCCCTTTTTGGGGGTTGTTCTTGTTGTTGTAACAGCATTATTTACAATATTTAATCCGGGGATTCTGTATTTAGGTCCAAGCCAAGAAATTGGGCTACTTCTACAGGGTTAGTTCATAAATCCATTGTGCTAATTAAAGTGGGGTGGGCGAACATTTCATTTCTATTTCAGCTATAGGCGGTGGGTGGCCTTCAAGAACGACATTCATGCGTAACCTGAATATCGTTCAAAGCTGCTGTATACGAACTACTACATAAATATCTTCGTATTCTCTCATCGTATACACGAACGTCCTTTCTGACATGCCTCCGGTGAGTATCCAACTGTGAGATGTTAAAGTTGGAATGACTCCTCCGGTAACATCCTGAAACTGTTTAGTCAGCATGACATTATGTTCCTTGACTGGGAAGACCTTCGTTTCCTCGTGTGAGTGTTGCTTTGAAGTTATTTGCATGCAGGCCGTTATAGCCCCTTTTCGGGGGTCAGGTTGTATGGTGGCTACATGAAATAATGGACCGATTTCAATCATTTTCAATTGGCTTAAAAATTGTGACCTGTAGTGTTTGCTTAAGGTTTATGTGGACAGACATATAGACGGATGAATATGGCTTAATAGACTTAATCGAGAAAGTGATTCTAAGACGATTGATATACATATGTACTTTAAGGTATCTAGTGGTGTAGGGTATAATCATTGGTCTTAACGTCAAAATTTTGTCTGGGTCTGATTTATTTATTCCCACAATTTTTCACAGCTAAAAATTCAAATTTTCATTAAAAAATAATTTTTCACTAGAAATTCGATTTTTCATTAAAAATCGGATTTTTAACTAGAAATTCGATTTTTAACTAAAAATTAAATTTTTCACAAAAAATACGTTTTTTCACTGAAAATTCGATTTATTCACTAAAAATTCTATTTTTTACTAAAAATCCAATTTTTCATTAAAAATCAAATTTTTCACTAAAAAACCAATTTTCCCCTAAAAATCTGATTTTTTCACTAAAAATGCGTTTTTTCACTAAAACCCAATTTTTCACTAGAAAATCCATTATTTCACTAAAAAT